GGGCTGGAGAAGAAAGAGGAAAAGGGAGAAAAGAAATAAGCCATCCTTATCCAAATTCTCCTCTTTTAAGTCCCTCAACTTTCAAACTTTTGACTATCAAGCCCAAAACAATATTTTCTCACACAAAAACCCTTACTTAAATGCTAAAATAGCACAAAATTTTGGGGTATTACATAACCATACACAACAAGTAATAGATTGAAGATGGTTGCTTTTAAAATGGTCAGAAAAGAATGAATACATAACCTCAAGAAAAACCTCAAGAACTTTACTTTCTAAAGTCCCCTTCCTATCATCATTTAATTAATCGGTAAAAGTTAAGAAGGGTTTATTTTCTTTTTACTCGAAAAACAATAATTTTCGCTAAGTGATGTTCAAGGACCAAAGCAGCATTACAAAATGAATGAGCCAATAACTAGATTTCCCCATCAAGTGAAAACTCTTCTACAACAAGAGAATTATTGGGAGAAAAGATATAAATAAGGATGTCAACTTTATATATATATATATATATATATTTTTAAAGATATTAATTTTGTCAATTTTTAAATAAGGATATCAACTTTCAACCTTTTCTATTTAAGATTAATTGAATGATAATGCTATTATTTAAGGATTAATTAGATGATCATACTACTATTTAAGAATTAATTAGATGATAATGCTAACGTGACAAATAGATTTTTTAATAGAAATGTTGAAAGTTGGTATCCTTAAATAGAAAAAGTTCAAAGTTGATATCCTTAAATATAAAAAAGTTGAAAGTTGGTATCCTTTAATAGAAAAAATTGAAAGTTAGCACCTTTAAATAGAAAAAGTTAAAAGTTAGTATTCTTATTTAGAAATTGGTAAATTAACATTCTTAAATAGAAAAAAGTGCAAAGTTGATATCCTTATTTACACTTTTGCTCAAACTATCAACAATAACTCCTTAGGACCTACATCAATAAAAACTAATTTGCTTAACTATATTAATAAAAAGAAATTAATGGGGAGCTTCCTAAAAAGATAAGTCAAAAGGGAGGTGCTAAGAATTTAATTCTCTTACCTATATGCTAATTAATGAAAAACTTTCTTAAATACTACGTTAGTGATCTTATTTTGAGATCAATGCTTCCATCATATCTAAGCTCAAAAATGTCAACCCAAGCCATATACAATTGCCCATGACTAAAGAATGGCTTTAGAAGATATATTCTAGCATGAAAGAGAATTTTTCTCTGACTTTTATTTATAATCATAGCAAAATATCTAACCAAAGAAAATTGCCTTTGTTGAAATTTAATTGGTAATGAGTGATTGTAAGGTGTTATGATCATTCGGAGAATTAGGACAATCTGGCCTACTTTGTTACTTGAGAGAATCTTATCCTTAATAATATGGTTCCCCATTTTTGTACTAAGCAGCCTTGTTCTATTGTACAAGCCATTTGATTCATCAATAGTCCTTAACAACATAATCAAAATCCCAACTTTAAAATTTAGCTTATGGTTTGGAAATCCATGACCAGTGAATGTATTAAATTCATTAGGAGAATAAGTTTGTTTATCATTTTGATAGTTAACATTATCCTTGCACATGGAGTTTGAACTTAAACTTTTCTCTTTACCATGAACACAAGACGTTTTAAATATGATCATTCAGCATTGCATCATTAAAAGTTGGAACAAAATAGTGTGCTCTTGGAAAAACTCAAGATCATTCATTTAAATTTTTTCCAAGAAGTTTAGATACGGAAGTCCACCAATTCAAGAAGCCTATTTTCTAAGTCTTTAATCAACATTTCTTTTGAAATTTCAATGATTACTTCACCATCAACATCCTCTCCAAGTTCTCCACTACAAATCTTCAATAACCAATCAGAAAATTCTCTCAAATCAGTTGATTTTGATTAGGAGAACTTGGTTATAGCCTTATATTTTTTTGTCAAGGTCAAAACTTCACAAGCATCTTACAAATACAAAAAAATTATTATTGCATTCATTATCTCTTATCTTTCCCCATAAGGAAGAAATTGTAGTATGCATTAGTTTGAAATCAACTCCAAGACAACAATTATACCTCCTAATGGTCTTTTACAACAATTAGTATTAGAGAATTTGAGAATATCTGTTATGATTCTATCAAATGCTTCAAGATAGAATCTACGCGTCATTGGGTCTTCATCCCATATTATTAATCTTGTCTTTGGCATCAATTCAACTTAAGGAGACCCTTGCTTGATGTTGCAAGTTGAATCTTCATTTATTTCAATTGGGATTAAAAATCTAGAATGAGCTGTTCTTCCCCTAAGAAGCAAAAGCTTCCCCTAAGATGCAAAAGTGCTACAATACCATTGGAAGTAACATTAACCATAATTAGTCTTTTGATCGAAAGGCTGCTGACAAAGTTTTTCAAATAAAAGTCTTCCTCGGTCCTCCATTTCATATAAAAGGAGTAGACCCCCCATAATATCATAAGCTTTTTTCATTGTCCTATTGCAAACATTTTGTTGATTAGTAGTGGGACAAGACAAATACTCTTTTCGTTGCTTTATTAATGAAGCTCTATAATAAGACAATTCATCCAAAATCAACTTGTTATGAACACTAGACAATACAACTCTCATCTAAAATGGCATAATAGGATAATCTTTATCTTCTACTACTCTAAAGGATTCTTTCAACTTCAATAAGGGCATTATTTTTTATCTCTTCTTTATTTATAACCAAATCTAAATTAAATAGTAGACACATGAAAGCCATACAAGAGACAAAACGAAAAAGATTTTTACTAATATAAACATTTTAATATGTGCAAAGCAACATGCAAGTGATCAAAGAATGTAAATAGTTGAGGAAGAAAGATTCACAATATTTAAAAAACAGAAGGTATTGCTAAGAGAGTTCATCTTTAGTAACTACTTTCATAAAAGTTTATGATTCACCTTTGCAATGATTAAATAAATAAAGTATTTAAATAAAATAATACTTAAACTTACAATTCTAATAAAAACAGGGTTTTTCAAATTTGTGTTGTTTGGCACAAGTTAATGACATAATTAATATAATTTTTTTGATATTAATTGACATTAAAAATGATAAATTTTGATATTAATTTTATTAATTATGCTATGTACATTATTTTAATTAAATAATTAATTAGATAAAAGTCAATTTTTATGTGTCCTTAAAGATGTAGTTTAAAAAAATTCTAAAAGCAATTAAGGTAGAAATTGAATAGATATTAATTATTTAAAGACCATTAACCCAACAAATAATTAATTATGCATGGATGCAGTAAAAAGAGTCTAATAAATTAAAAATATTTACCATTACGATGATAATGAATTTACTTATGTGTAGAAATAGCATGTAAGTAATGTTGTAAAATCTAGCCTAAAAATCAATTTGTTTTGGCAAAATCATAACTTAAGCCCCTGAACTAACCCCAGAATCGCTATTAAGCCCCTAGACTTTAATTTGATGCATATAAACCCTTGAACTCTAGGATCAAAGCAATTAAGTCCTTCTTCTTGCCCCAACTTAACTGCCGTTTGGGATTGCTCGCCTGACTTAACTGCCGTTGAGGATACGCCCCGCTTGGCTGCTTGGAT